CCTTAGATCTCCTCCTGAGTAACTAGGATTACCATGCTAGTCTGGCAAAAAAAAAAAAAAAATCTTTGAGATTCCATCTTCAATTAACTAGCAAAAAAATTCTAGAGGCATGGTTCAAGTGGTAGAACACTAGCCATGAGTAAGAGAGCTAGATTGCAAGGCCCTGAGTGCAAGCTCTGGTACTAGCACAGACATACACACAGACACAGACACACACACACACACACACACACACACACACACACGGAAGTAACAGAGGGTCAATTCAACAGACATCCATCCTTTCTGCTCAACCTCTGTCTTGCCAGAGTGCAACACTTCCGGCTGGATTCCGACAGAAGGACCAGACACAGAAAGCAGCCACTGGTCCATTTGACCGGGAACACCTCCTCATGTACCTGGAGAAGGAGGCTTTGGAACAGAAAGACCGGGAAGACGTTGTGCCCTTCACTGGAGAAAAGAAAGGTCAGGAAAGCTAGTCTTACCATGTTGCGTTGGAGAGGGGTCCTGATCTGGACATTGGAACTGAGCTGATGAACTGGATACTGTATCTTAACACATTATGGCTGAGTTAGGTGTTAGTTCCCACCTCTAATCCTGGCTTCTTAGGAGGCTGAGATCTGAGGATCATGGTTCAAAGCCATCCCAGGCAGAAAAGTCCAGGAGTATCTTATTTCCAGTAAATCAGCAAAAATCCAGAGCTCCACTTTCAGATTTTGGGGAGTTAATTGACCATAAAAATGGTTTTGGGGAGGGAGTGAGGGGTGGGAGATGGGAAGGGGAAACAAAGGAGGAGGCTACAATGCTTGATAAGAAATGTACTCATTATCTTGCCCATGTAATTGTAACCCCTCTATATGGTATTTTAAGAAAGAAAGAAAGAGAGAAAGAAAGGAAGGAAGAAAGAGAGAGAATGTCTTTGGCGCCTAAGCCCAGAGTTCAAGCTCTACAACCGACCCCCAAAAAAAGAATGTCTTTGGGAGCCGGGCACTGGTAGCTCACATCTGTAATCCTAGCTACTCAGGAGGCTGAGATCTGAGGATGGCAGTTGGAAGCCAGTCCAGGCAGAAAAGTTCCCATGAGACCCTTATCTCCAGTTAACCACTCAAAAACTAGAAGTGGTTCTGTGGATCAAGTGGTAGAGCGCTAGCCTTGAGCATAAAGAAGATCAGGTACAGCACCCAAGCCCTGAGTTCAAGTCCCACAACTGACAAGAAAAAAAAAGATAGGATTAAAATATAATTATTAGCCGGGCACCAGAGGCTCACCCTGTAATCCTAGCTACTCAGAAGATTGAGATCTCAAGATCCTGGCTCAAAGCCAGCCTGGGCAGGAAAGTCTGAGACTGTTATCTCCAAATAATCCAGTGCCCAGGCCCAGAGTTCAAGCCCCAGCACCAGTTAAAAAAAAAAAGGAAGAAAAGAAAAGAGTCTCTTTGGTTTGTCTGCCCAGGCTGGTTTTGAACCTCGATCATCAGATCTCAGGCTCTTGAGTCTCTAGGATTACAAGCTAGAGGCTGCTGTACTGTGTACTTCCTGTAGGGGTACATACTATTTTGTTTTTCTTCTGATTCATAGGGAGAGTCTTTATCCCCAAAGAAAAGCCTGTAGAAACTCATAAAGAAGAAAAAGTGACCTTGGACCCAGAACTAGAAGAAGCTCTGGCCAGCGCCTCTGACACTGAACTCTACGACCTGGCAGGTTAGTCTTTCCGTGGGCTCCGGGCCCTCCAGGCAGCTCCTGCTTCTAGCTTTGTCTGGTACAGACTCAGCCGCTGTGAGGCTGTGAGACTTGACTTGGTGACTGAACCACTCTGAAACACTTCGCTGTAAAATGCTCACTTAGTGCCCATTCTCCAAAATGGCTACCGAGAGAAAATCAAGAAAAAATTATGGGAACCTGGAGGATAAAAAGACAGTCCTTTTGTTCCCCAAGAACTGTCAGATTAAATTGTTTTTTGTTTTTGTTTTTGGTTGGTCATGGGGCTGAACTCTGGGCCTGGGCGCTGTCCCTCAGCTCTTCAGCTCAAGGCTAGCACTCTACCAGCTTTTTCTGCTTATGTGGTGCTGAGGAATTGAACCCAGGGCCTCATGCATGCAAGGCAAGCACTCTACCACTGAGCCACCTTCCCAGTCCTTAGATTGGTTTTTATTCTTGTTTTTGGTTTTTTGTTGTTGTTGGTCGTGGGGCTTGAACTCTGGGCCTGGGCGCTGTCCCTCAGCTCTTCAGTTCAAGGCCAGCACTCTACTACTTGAGCCACAGCACCACTTCCGGTTTTCTGGTGGTTTATTAGAAATAAGAGTCTCACAGACTTTCCTTCCTGGGCTGGCTTTGAACCTCAATCCTCAGATCTCAGCCTCCTGAG